TTTTTTTATCGGTTTTATATTACAATTACAAAATATATCTATAGTTTAAATGTTTTATTGAAAACAAACATTTAACAAGCATCCTTAAAACTATGAAGCAGTGGAAACGTAGCAAATTCGGAAGGTGCACCATTTCCAAAAGAAAAAGCCATGCATTTGCTAATAAGCATATCTGAAAGATACATTGTTAACCCAGAGAATTCAAATATAATATACGTTTACATAACATATATGACATAATGTTATACGGCTAAATCCCGTATCCCATGCATCCGCTTATACGATGGTACGATGATACAAAAGTGTTTCTATTGGTTGACAGATCTCCAACCAATAGTGCTACGAAAGTGTTTCTATTGGTTGGGGATCTATCAACCAATAGAGACACTTTCGTATCACCGTACCATCGAATAAGCGGATGCATGGGACACAGGCTTAAGATTCAAAAATTTGTTATTTTTAAATAGGATTTCACAGTCTACTCACCAAATTTATTTCCAATTTGAGAGCAACTCTTGAATGTGCTGTTAGTGGTTCTGTCAGCTGATGAAACTCATTTAGGAATAGAAAATGTTTTACGAAATAGGAAACCTCACTAATACCAGCAATGTTTCTAATTTAATAAAACAAAACAAACCTTTAAAATGTTTGGACACTGGCCAGGTGTTGAAGTTAGGGGTGTTTTGCAGGAACCAGCTGAAACAAATTATCAACMATAAAAACTGTATTAAAACAACTACATATAAAATAACTGTATATTTTAATGCGTCAGACTGGTCACAATGTTATACAATATGKTAAGTTATYTGCGRATAAAAACGATGATTTTATACTGAGGAGCTGGGAGTTTGCGATGTTCAGTTTTGTCATTACTGAACTTGGGTATCTTGGGGGTTTTGAAATTTTCCTTCTTTTGAACCGAAAATTAACCGCTTCTGAGTCTAAAAGTACATCCGATGTGTCCTCTGCAACCTTTAACTTTTCATTGGATTTCTCAAAAATATAAGGCTAGTTTAATTACCAAACGGTTCACATGTTGAGCATTTTTTTTTTTTTTGGGTTGCCCATGTACCTATTTAATCTTCTAAACCTATAATAATCAATTAACAATGCGCCGCCCTCCAGCTTGTTCTTCTGGAGTTCTATTACTGCAAACATACTGTAATC